AATAAAATAAAAATAAAAGAAAGTGATTAAAAATTGATTAGTTTAAAAAAGAAATAAAAAGTGAAAATGTTGCGAAAGATAGTATTTTGGAGACTTTTTGGTTTATCTACACCATATTACGATTTGTGACGGTTGGAGGAGTTCATTTTATATAACGAAAAAAAAAAAGGTATTCCTAAATATTAGACATATTGATAGTGATTTATGTAGAGTGATTTATGTCGGTAAATCTTACTCGATTTTACATTTGTAAATATTAGAGCTTTCACATAGTGTAAATAATTGTTGAAACCTTAATTTATTTCAAAATCTTAAAGATTTGAAAAAGTACTAAATGACAAATTCCCTACACCACGTAGGGATTGTTCAAACCCAATTCACATAATATGACTATGATAGAAAAAGAATCTTAAAACTGAACTTTTGCCGTATTTTGTTTTTATATTAATTTGGGTTAGTCAAGCAAATGGTTAATGATTATTCGTTATGCTCATTTCTTCATTTATGTTAGAGCGACTAACATAATATAAATATTAAAAAAAAATTAACTTGAACATAGTTCTAATAAGAAAATGGTTTATATATAAGGTAAACTTGTGATGGACTTTAAAGTCCTAAATATTAGGATTTTCTACACAAATCAAATAAGAAAAGATTTATTAACCATAATTTTAGTTAATTTTAAACTCTTCTTATAAATAAGATTCTATTTAAGGTGAATGTTTATATTTTAGAGACATTGTAGAGATTTTACTTGGTGGCTAAGTCACTCTTTCCCTATAAATAGAGGAGTCATATTCCATGGTAATTCATCTCAAATCAATAAGAATTCTATCCCTCTACTTTTCTCTGCAATACTCTTCTTCTTTTATTGTTTTATAACACGTTATTAGCACGACTCTAACCAATTGAGTAGAAGCTTTGGGATTGTTCCATGAACTTCCTTCATGATTTAGTTCTAGATTTAAGGTAAGTATTTTATCGTATTTTTCTCATTTATTCTATAATTTAATTTTAAACACAAGCAAAAACAATAAATTTGGATTATAACTCTAATAAAGTTTGTAAGAAATTATAATCACGTGAAGTGGTAAAAATTTTATGTCTTGCCATGATCAAAGTCATGTATGATCGTGAGCACAAGAAGTGAAAACTCGTCCCATTGAATGTGCTTCATTCTCATTCCCTTAAGAGAATATGATAGCAATATGTGATAAATCTGAAAGAAGACAAAATTATTACCGTGAAGGTATCAATGGATGTGGACGTGGCAATAGACAAAATTATAATCGTCATAATTGTGATAATGAGAATAGTAAGGATTATCAAAATAATCCTTCACTCTGTGAAAGTAATATTTGTCATCGATTTGACTTGAGATTTTATAAAGCACATATAGATGATTATGGTCCATTCATGATGTGAATGTGACAACATCTGATTTGTGAATACATATTCATTCTTGGAAGAATATGAACGTGCTAGTGGTAGTGAATATACCACACTCACCTCTAGAAGGAGGTTTGAGGTGATATAAGAAAATAATGTCATTATTATGGCATGAATGGTCATTGGTCACGTACCTATTGCACGCCAAAATATTTTTGGCAATGTGATTATTAAAAGACAACGGTAATGCAAGAAACAGATCTTGCATATATTTTTTACCAGGACCATAATGGTATAACTTTCTCTTTAAAAGAGATATTCACCATACGAATGTTGATGAATATGTGGTAGTACAAAATTAATTGAGAACTCTGGAAGAGTCATTTATACTATTTTGGAGAAATACAATTGATTACCAATAAGGTATTGTGTTGTAGTAAGTCTCAAAGAAACTTATTGAGTTTCTAAAGTATTCGCGAAAGCGGTTGGTTAAATTGAGACTATAAATAATGAGAAGACTTAATATCTTCTATTACTACACTTGTAGCGGCGTAATACGTATGTAAAAAGCTACCCACTTTATTCTCCAGTTTGTACAACACAAATAAAAGAATGCCACAATAAAGTAGAAGTTTATTGATATAAAAACCTATATCATAATAAACTTGGCGTTTATTCATAATTGCACACGTCATGGTGTAAACCTGAAGTTTATCAATATTGATAATTTATTCAGTTGGCATAATTGGTTTAGCCATGTTAATTTAAGTATGATGTGCAAAAATGAAAGAGAATTCACATGGGTAAATATTAAAGAACTAGAAAGTTCTTTACGAATTCTCTTATGTTGTTTGTTCTCATCAATTAATAGACCAACTAAAATTGGGATTGTATCCCATGAATGCTGGAAATTTCAAAGGTGAATATGGGCCCATTCACTTGTCATGTATACCACATAAGATACATCTATGAGATGGTTACATGTGCGATTATTGTTAACCCGCAATTTGGCCAGTGTTTGCGAGGTAACTTGCTCAGTAATTTAATTTCGAGCATAATTTTCATATTTTCTATTCAAGACAGTTTATCTTGATAAGTTGGTTTACATCACTGTTGGTTTAGCAAAAATTGATTTATTGAGTGCCCGCATTTAATATCAAACTATTTCTTATGAGAACAAGGTTATATATGTCAGTTTGATATACGTTATATACGAAACTCCCCTCACAAGTGGTTCCGGGTCAGGAACCAAATAATTCAATCTTATTATTATTGATGTGCGGTGTATATTTTGATTAACACCATAACGCACAAAGATGGGTTCTCAAAGTTGAGGAAACAAGTTAGTTTTTCTAACATGAGGGGGAGACAGAATAAACTGTTGAGAAAAGTTACGTGGAATGAATTATCATTTCTATATCTAGAACCTCGAATATGATAATATGAACTTGAAGTTCATAAAAAGATAATTCATTTGCAATATATTGCAAAAAGCATGCTAGACGCATTTGTTGACCCAAAGAAAGTAACTATATTCTCATTGCAAATGCTCCTATTAAGTCCTAGAAGGACAAAGTCTATGGTACGCTTAAAGCATATTGACAAATCGATTTCAAATAAACTTCTTGATAAAGAAGATGATCAAAAGATCATAATAAAGGAGGCAAGTGATCTAGAAGATCACATGACATAACACTTCATAAAATCTCATGAGAGATTCAGGTACTCGAATATATTAATAAAGAGAGCTCTATGTTATGTCTTTATGAAAATAAGGAGGTTGGAACCGATATAAAATGTAACATCTATGATAGAGCTAAGTATAGATGAGGATCTTAAGTCTGTCAAACACATACACAAAAAATATTGGCTAAATGAAAGAGACACAATTTGAATAGAATTGGTTTCATACGAAAGATATATAATTTTGGACATGTAGTTCAAACACTTGAAAGTATAAAATCAATGATATGTGCAATCAGTTTTCGATATCTAATTTGTCTAGCATGACATGAAAACTTGATATGCATCTAATTAAAGTCTACTCTATGACTTATATGACAATCCTTGAAGGATTTAAATTGCTTGAAGCATATACAATTCTCGATCATGAAGTACTACATCCTAAGTGCAATGTATCTTGCTATAACTATAAGCATGATAATATGAAGCGAGAATTTTCAAGGTGCAACATATTCATTGGAGTAAATATGGCTATTTTATTCATCAAATCTCTGGGATGTCAACCTTCAAGAAGCTAGTGCACAAGATTGGAATGCGAAAGCTCAAGGATGTGAATTGATGCTCTCATCAGGGGGAGTTAATATGTGTTGTACTCTTTTTCCCTTACAAGATTTTGTCCTACTGGGTTTTTTTTTTGCAAGGTTTTTAATGAGGCAACCAAAAGGCGTATTGTGGATATGTGTACTCTTTTTCCTTCTCTAGAATTTTTTTTCCCGCTAGGTTTTATTTTAGTTAAGGTTTTAACTAGGCACATTATCTGTTGAATAGACATTCAAGGGGGAATGTTATAAATAAGATTCTATTTAAGGTGAATGTCTATATTTTAGAGAGATTGTAGGGATTTTACTTGGTGACTAAGTCAATCTTTCCCTATAAATAGAGGGGTCCTATTCCATTGTAATTCATCTCAAATCAATAAGAATTCTATCCCTCTACTTTTCTCTGCAATACTCTTCTTCTTCTTTTATTGTTTTATAACAACTCTTAAATACTTGAAATTAATTGAATGACTATTTTGTCTACTGTGAGCTCTATTTTAAAAGGGTAAAAAAAAGCGAACGATATTTTACTAAGAGCATTCGTGCTTCTAATATAATATAGATATAGATATTGAGATATATAGATTTTTGGGTCAAGGTTGTTGGATTAATACAATATTTTTCTAAAGTGTACTAAATAAATAAACTGATATGGTCTTTTTTTCATCCTTTATGGTCTTAGAAATTCTAAAATAAAAAGTCTTTAAAAAGAAAAAACAAACAAGAAGAAGGATCATGGTGGATCTTTTGATTAAAAAAAAAAAAAAAAAAAAAAAAAACAAGAAGAAGGATTAACAAGTATTGTTCTAGTTGCTTAATTCTTACCCTAGATTTTAACCTTATATTTTTCTTAGGAATCACGTCAAATCAAACTTTAAATCCCAACAAACTAAAGATAGGAGCTGCTTAAGACCTAATTATGAAGCCAGCCAAAACTGGTTTTATATATAT